ACACACACACACACTCTTACACAGTTCATCTCTTTTTGTCTTTTTCACACACACCCACAGTCATAAAGCTCACTGGTGAAAAATGACCTTATCATGCAAATGCCTTAAAATGCCACACTTGCAGACGTGTGCAAGGTTGTAAGGTTATCCACCCACCTACCCACCCACACACACACACAGAAGTGTTAAATTATATATCTTACAGCGGTGGAGGTGAATGACATGAACTGCACTTAACATGCCATTGCTTCTAGTTTCTCTGTCTCACTCTGTCCATCTCTTTCTTTCTTTCTCTCTCTTTTTCGCTCTCTCTCTCTCTCTCCCTCTCTCTCTCCCTCATTTACTTACACATTCAGGCCTTCATACTTTTTTTCTTACTTCTGTCCCCTTGCCTTGACCTCTGCTGATGTATTCTCTCATGGTCATTTGTCAGACAGTTCTAGGACATTCACATAGCATGAACCCCATTACTGTGTATTACAGTAATGCACTTATCTCCTCTCTCTCCCTCTCACCCCCCAGTGATTTGAGTAAGAACCAGATTTCTGACATTGCCGCAGATGCCTTCAGTGGCCTTCGTTCACTCACCTCACTGTAAGTATGACACACGTACATGCAAACACACACACAGGTATGGGCACACACAAATATCCAGACAGGAAAGTAATTGCATTTCCATACATTTAGCAAATAAAATGGTGTTGCTATTGATGTTGACATCTGGATCACTATGCCGCGGTGTGTGCATACAGGCTGTATGCGTGTCTTTGTATTTACTTGTATGTGTGTGTAATTGTACGTGTGTGTAATCACTGAGGGTGAATGTGATAAGAACATGAAGGACAGTTTAATTTGAATCAATCTGGAGCATGAAAATGAGACAGACAGACAGACAGACAGACAGACAAGAAGAGGCAGACAAGGTGAACTCTGCTGGGTGTTAAAACTCAGCACACACATGCTCACTCACACAGACACACACATACAAGTCAACACACAGCCAAGTCAGTTGAACAGTAATGTCACTGAGAGGCACGACTTCTGAGGCTAGCTGAGGCGTGATATAGCAAAATATAAAATTGCTCAAGTGAATTAAATGGTTGCAACTGCAACTGGAAGCACATCTCAAACATTATTTTTAGATTTTGACAATCAAATGAGATAAATGGTCCAACAGTGTGCTTAGTGAGAAGAGCTGAAATGACTTCTGCACATGTTTTTTGTAATCTGGCAAAAAGGTTGTAAATAACATTGCACTGGAAACAGACAACTTTGTCTCTTTGATTGTAACACTCCTTCAGTTCTTGTCCCCAAAATATTTTTTCCAACTCGGTGAGCATGATGGCTTTTTCATTCCATGCAGATATATTTAGGGGAGCTGAATATTAGTGGAATTTTATGGAAGATGAGTTGGTCAAGGTCAACAGTAAAAACAAATGAAATCTTGTTGTACAGTATAATTTCTGGTGGTTTAATATTGCTGACCAGTGAAAACAAAGAATGCATTGTCACAAAGCATAAACATATTCTTACACATTGGAGCTACATGGTTATCACAGGACATCGACCAAACCATTATTTATTTACAGGCTGTTTTCAACTGAGACCGCTTCATATGAAAAAATATTTTACATAGGCATCAAACTTTGATATCTTATTACTTTATGTCATTTATATATACCCGTATATTGCAAACTGTTGAACTATAATATTCAGTAGTCCTACGGGTGAGATATGAATATGAAACCATAATATTGTAAAACAGCATTAAATGTCACAACTTGTGGATGCACAGTATTTAATTATGTTTTTTCAGCCGGCTTTTGACCACATAAGTCTAGACGTGTAAGGACAGCCATGTAAACACTGAAACCTAAATTATGTTGTTTTGTCTGTCCTGTGCAGGGTGTTGTACGGCAACAAGATCACGGAGCTGCCCAAGGGATTGTTTGATGGACTGGTTTCCCTGCAGCTACTGTAAGTACTGTCTGCCTAGTCTGTTGTTATGTGTGTATCTGTGTGTATGTGTGCCCCACCCCAGAAAATTATGAAATATGTTATTCAGTAAACAAAAGAATATCACACCAAAACGCTGGATGAACTTCCCACTCAGTTGTTGTGAATTTGTAACAGTATGGTCCAAAATTCTGTTTAGCTATAGCTTCTTCTAAAAAATGCTCTAGAACAAGTGGCAATGAATATGTGAAATGTAAAATACAGAAGAGCCTACATGCTAAAAGGCTCTTATTGAAGGTGATTTATCAGCAAGCTATGTGGCACAATTTACAGTATGGAACCAAAGTTTTGTATGAAAAAAAAAACAAATCAGTACCTGGAGGTCTTCATAGGCCAATGTTTGAGCAAAAACTGGAATGGAAAAGTACTAGCATTATCATGTTAGGTCAGAAGTTAATTAGTATCCTTGGGCTGTTCTTTTGTTTAGTGTTGTACTTTATTTTACCCTATTAGGATGATTTGGTGACTTGGCATCAGAAAGTCATATCTACAGTATCATGATCACGACAACTTATTGCTTAAATATATGGTATGGAGGTAATTTTATTAGGAAGAGCAAATCTTGGTAATCATCACACAGTGGCAGCTATAGTAGTATCCCCCCTTCATGCATTAACCCTCCATCTGTCGTGCACCGTGTGTGTGTACAGAAAAGCCTTTCTTAAATGATCAACATGAACCAAATTGGTGCATTGTAATAAAAACATTCACTGGAGGAAAACTATTAATTCTGAATAATTCCTCATAGGCACCAGTTCAAACTGCAGCAGTGGTTCAGCATGCAGTAAAAATTCTGACTGCTATAATGGCTTCATTGGTAATGTACAGTATGTGGCATATGGTCCTCACAAATGCTGCAGTCCACTGCAGAAACAGCTAATGTTCTGGGCTTTTCCATCGTAAAGTGAAGTGAAGCAAAGAGAATGGGGATGAGTGAATCTAACCCACAAACACCTTTTACGCGCTTAGGTGGATCATTGGGATGCATGGTGCATAGTCAGACACAGAGAGAATAAGGGGGGGAAGTGGAGGAGGATGGATGGATGGATAGATAAATTAGTGGATGGAGACAGAAAGATGGAAGAAAAGACAGACATAAGCAAAAAGATAGATATGGAGAAATGTATAAATGCAGATACGATTAGAAAAGAGAGTGAATACATTTTCATGTCAACCTATGTATAACATGACATCATTAACATTTAGTATCTCTTGATTGAAGAAGTATTTCCCCCAGACCTTGTCACGATGCTGCCGTCATAAAATGTTAAACCCTGACTGTTTCTGTCTATTTGTGACTACTTCAATCACTGAATAAATAAAGTACTGAATGACTAGTTAATATTCATGTCTTGCCACATCATTGGTCAATCCCAAATAGACACTGCCTGCGGGTGTTGGCGTTCACTCGACAGGCGAAGGGAGGGAATATGTCTTTTAATATTTTGCACCTGTCAGAAGAAAACCTCCCATCGCCAAAAAGTCAGTCAGTTTGTCAGGATTCTGCTGATTAAGATGCTGTATATATTCCATATAGTGTAATAATTATAAATTATATATTAGCTTTCACTGGTGAATCAAGCAGCATGTCAACCTTCCATGACAAAGATGTGTTTATTGCTTTGTATAGCAGCCGGTCTGCTGTTTATGTTGTCTGTGCTGCTTTGTTTTACTGGTGCAGTTTCAAGTAATTAGTTCCCCCTGTGAGCTGCCTAATGAGGCGTGGATATGTCGCAGAGCAGCATGTGTGTGTGTGTATCTGCATGTGTGTGCGTGCGTGTGTATGTAGACGTTGGTTATGCCAGTATAGGCGCTCAATAGGATGACTTGAGATGAGTATGCTGAGCTGCTCTACCAAGCACATAGTTAGTCACCTGCCTGACAAAGAATGAAAGCAGAAAGAGAGTAGAGTATAAGATGGACAAAGAAACAGAGAGTTAAAGAAAAAACAGAGAAACATTGTATGTGTGATAAAAGAGTGAAAAGGTCAAGAATGATGCAGACATGGAGTGAAAAAAGAAAGTATAGGCAAAAATCTGTCAGCTTAGTTATATTAGCTGATGAAGTGCAGGTATGAAAGGACAGACAGATGGAGGAAAGGGTGGAGGTGCAAACCCTTCCTGTCATTTACCTAATCCCTCTATCACATTTCTCATTTCCCTTTCTCTCTCCCCGCCATTTTGGCTGTCAGTCCCTTTCACTTAATTGTATATCTGTGTCACTCTAAGTTAAATTTTCGCCTGTCCCTTCACTGTCTCACTCCATTATTTCCTCCATTCCATCTCCATTCCTCTATTTTGTTCTCTTTCTACTCCCTTTTTCCCCTCACATCTTTCTCTTCCATCAAAACAAGATATTGCACTCACACCCAACAGTGGATATTCCCCTCTTGCTCCAGAAGAGAAAGTGAAAATATATAAAACTGCAATTTTTAGATTTATGTGTCATGGCCAGAAAAAAATATAATCATGACTGTGTGGAGAGGCTATAGGGAGGGAAGGAATAGGGGAAAAAAAAGAGGACGGGGAGAAAAGTAGTGGTTTTGCAGTAGAGATGCGTCTGAGAAATAAATTATATCATTATCTGCGTATGTGTTTATCTTTAGTTTGAGTAGTGCACAGAGATAATAAGGCTAAATAAGTAAAACAAGTACAAATAAATAACAAACACTGAATGGTTCTTCCTTGTGTTTCAGGCTGTTGAATGCCAACAAAATTAACTGTTTGAGAGTCAACACCTTCCAAGATCTGCAGAACCTCAACCTGCTGTCACTGTACGACAACAAACTGCAAACGATCAGCAAAGGACTGTTTGCTCCTCTGCGCTCCATAAAGACTCTGTAAGTATAGTAAGGTTTTGAGCATGGTTTCATGAACCCAGGTGTCTTAAATAAAAGCTGTGACAATTAGTTGATTAATCAATTATTTGATCAACAGAAAATAAATGGCAGTTATTTATATAATATTAAAAGAATATTCATATTCATATCTTTCATTCAAAAATGTGAAATACTTTCTCTTCTAAGCTTTTGAAATGTGACATCTTGTTGTTTTTCTTTGTCATATATGACAGGAAATTGAATATCTTAAGGGTTTGGACTGTTAGTTGGACAAAATATCAACCTTTGGCCTTTCACTATTTTGAAAAATAGGATAATGGAAAATAAATTGTTAGTTGCAGCCCAGGTCCAACATGGTTGCACATGTTTATTTCCAGACAGACAAAGGAAAGAGGCCACACTTCTGACTACATGTTTAGATCGCTTGTTAATTAAGCAGTGTGTACAATACTCCAATATCTTTTTCTGAAAGTTTTTTCCTTGATTCATTTGAAGTATCCGTATGTGGTGCGCTTTATTTTCTCTGGTAATCAGGGCTATTGGTGTTCATGATAACTGTACAGATCTCTTTCCTGTATGTAGGATTTTTGTACCAAACAACAGCAGTTTAGAACAACAAATGTGTATTGGAAATGTTTCAATTTAATTCAAACCAAATGTTTGGTTTGAATTGAATCAGCCAGCAATGAAAAGAAAAGGTTGTTATGAACCTTCCCATGACAAATCTTCTCTCTCTCTTTCTTTCTCTC